CACTGGGGGGTTGAGAGCGGAGCGCCCATAAAATACGGTGAAAATAGAAATATATATATATATATATATATATATATATATTTGACGGACGCATGCAGTAGTGAGGTCCGCACGAAGATGCTTTCACTGAAAAATACGAAGCCCGACTGTTGTAACGGAGTTGTATGCCACATTGCACATTGTTTACTAGTCCGGTACCCTATATCAGCTATAGGTTGTCGGCTGATTAGGAAATCGCTTTGATTTCCAGCGACAGGATCTGTCCTGTATACTTCAGCCTGTCACAGCGTCATACTCTTCCTGACTGAGATGAGCCCTTCCCTGACGACGTTAAAATGAGGCTGTCATCCTTAGATTTGTCTCCGCAACCGATATGCCTCACTATTGGATTTACTTGACACCTAAAACGTGCGTCCAATCCCCTCCAATGGTGATGGCATTTTCCCTCAGCTCCGTATTTATTGTGACCATCCCAAAATATCATAGTTTAAATATCATATTTCATTCGACCATTCCTGCAGAGGGAATCCCATATCCTTGAAGACCCTCTTGGTAATCAGAGTGTGTGCACTCTATTATGCACCGTGTTGCCTTCCTATGCGGCCCACGATCACTAATTTCCTGTCGACCTCAACTTCCTCCATTCGTTAACTAGAGTGAATTTACGACGAAACGTAGAAAACAGAGATGTGGAAACAGGAAATCAAAGCAGAAGAATTACGATATTTCGATCATTTATGGTAATAGAATTTCCTCAGTTTAAGGCGAAGGTGAAGATCCCGCAGGATCATGCCTATTCTTGACTCAAGGTTTCATCTGATATGCTTTTACTTTATGCTCCCTCACAGCTCTTCTCATCGCAGTTTGACCAGATCGATCCCTGGTATGGCTGATCACAACTTTTATTTCAGTAAGCTAGGAATTCGTCCGACCACTCCATCGTGTTTCAGTGAAAGCCAGCGCTCTTCTATTCCCTTATAACGAGTGCGTCATCTATTTAGCATAACCATAGTCACAAGTGAAGCAAGGTAACTTGACTTGAGGGACTCGTATAATGCCTTGCGTACTGTGTTCCAAATGAACACTATTCGCCAGCCGAATCTTTTCGGTACTAAAATTTAAGGGGCCAGTGTTTTAAGCCGTAAGTCAGAGGATAAAAAGGGTACTTTGGCCCCCTCGATTCCAGACATCTGGCAGGTGGTACTTCACGATTTTACTGTCACAATACTTCCGGGTGTTTGAACCTTGAAAATACCAAGCGAATTCGGCCGTAGTAGAAAGCTGACCGTATCATCGCGGGACAAATATATCACCTATTGCGAATGATGTAATTAGCAACACGTTAGTTAGATAAAGACACCAAATACTGTAGCAAACGTTTCCACTTGGAGTTATGCCTGTATCCAGACTATCAGCTATTCCTTTTCAAAAGTGGCAGTCATAACAGAAAAACTGTCAACTATGTAATTAGTCCGCTTATTATCTCAATCATTTTTGGGTTTGTCTATCGGATGCTGGTCAGGCGTTTTAAGGATAGTGTGTCAAGGTTCATTCACACCGATCTGGGCCGTCTAAATTTAGACTCATTATCATCCTAACACAAAGAATGTTCACATAATTACCGCTTACGATGCCACCCATCGGTTGCAAACAGTTGTAGTAACTGATATGCGTACTCAACAGTGCTATAAAGTTGTCAGCTATTCGGAAAAAAACTGGGGAACAGTCAAAAGGGTCCTGCACCAAAAGAGCTTGAGGAAGGACGGTTTCGATGCATACTTTTGTAGTTGGCGTTTCATCGGTAAAAGTTGGTCAAAACGCATGTTTACGCTGCTTTGTGTATTATTTGCCCCACATCGCTTTTGGGTATCCAAGACGTCGACGAGGTGACTAAGCACGGGATCTTTTATTCTCTTTCACAGTTTTGTATGAGTTTCCAGATGTATCATACACGTTGGCTCATTCCATATCTTGGACCAGTCAAGTTGCACAGGGCGCGGACTACTTGCACCGTATCTGCACGCCGCGTTTATGCCATGGAGACTTAAAGCCAGCCAATATGCTCGTGTTTGATCAAGGACGCCTGGTGAAGCTAACCGATTTCGGTTCGGCCGGTCCGTTATCACAAACCACGGAGCAGACGCCGCGTCCTCTTACACCAGTTTACACAGCCCCAGAAATCGCTTACTTGAAAGCAGGTGCGTAAATGAATCTCTCCTTTTTTCTTTAAGACGGCCATCTTGATTGACTTATTTGACTTGATCTCGTGGTGAAGTACCTGTAGTCTATTTCGCCCCTCTCCTCACATTCCGTTGTAAACGTGTTTCTTCCAAAAAAACGCAGTTATCTGGCCTTTATTGCCAACTGTGGAGTTGCTTGGCTGTCTGCCATTTCCTAATACGGTTTCTTGAACCCTAGGCTGTTTTAGTAGTGTGAAACGGTGACGTCTGAATTGTTTGCACACTTTTTCCTATTGATTCCCTTTACAAGGTGAATTCAGTCGTGTTTTAAGCCTTAGAATTACTGTGCAGTTAATCTGTTTGTTCACGACTGCTTTTTAGTGGAAAGCGGACAGAGTTATGATAAAACTGACAGTTCGGCTGCCTGTATTATGTTTGTGCCTTTTTCACAAAGTCCTCTTTCCTAAAAAGTCTCTTTTTTACATTTGAACATTCTTTTGTCTTGTTTTTCTTTGGCTTCACACTCTAGTTCCCTGGAGTGAGGAAGTACTTCGGCCTAAGCAACTAGTTGTTGTACTTACGGACATATAAAGTTACTGGTCCTAAGCACACACGTCACAGTACTGCCGTTGCACATGCCTTCGCCGTTGGAACTAAAAAACATCAAGATTGCGAGTATCCAAATCGTTCCAGGACTCAATGGACTATGGACACAGAATCTGCAGTCAGATTTCTGTGTAGCGTTTTCTAGTTAGGGTTTCGCTTGGACTTGGGGAGTCATTTGAAGCCATTCACGCTGGAACGTTTTTACACATTTATTCAGACCGTCCTTTGAATTGGTGTACATGCTAGTACCTTTTTACATCAACATTCCTGTTGAATTGTTCAACAACCGTGGAAGTTTTCGTCCATGATTCGATTCCATGCATATGGAACGGAACAGCGCATAATATTTGGTAAATTGGTTGAAAATATCATGTTCAAGTTTAGGTGTTAACCAAAATGCTGTTTTTCATTAAGGCGCTTACGTCCGAGTCCGGTTTGTAACGTCTGAAATCACAAACTCCATGATTTTCGGGGTTCCTGATAGACTCTCTCTACGCTTCTCTACCTGTTTACCTTTATTCATATCTGGCACACATTCTTGAAAATAACTACCCTTGAGTGAATTAAGTTATTCCTTCGAATGAGTTCCCATGGTCCACTTTCTAATGGTTGCCTCTTGGATAGATTGAAATTCTGTTGTCTGAACCTTGTGAACAACGTCAATGACACTTCTTGACTAACCAGCGAGTGTATTTCAGGATTTGGGCAAGGACTTAGCTTTGTACTTAGTCGAACTAGTCGCCAAAAATGCACATATGCCCACCAGCACTGGTATGCGGTTGATCCCTCCAACAATAATTTACTCGACTGCATAGCTGAAGTACCTCTGTGGCTTTGACACACCAAATAACTTTAGCTTTCAAACTGCGCGCCCCGAAACGTCACAATACGTTGCTTCGATCGATCTTCGCAACCCAAGTTACTGTGAACTTTCTTGTCGTGTCCTCTGACTGCGCCTTGTCATCCAAGCTCATTTGTAAAACAAAATGCTGATGGTTGAATTATTATGGCGCCGAAGTCATATTGATTCATTTTGTGTGCGGGTGTTCGGACCGTTGTTCAAACAAGCTAATAAGGGCTGAGTCCACTAACCAGATATCTGAAATAAATTGTAAGTTGATGGCTACATATATGTTTCAACAAATCGCTGCTCATGAACGAACCTGACGTCATAAGACCTCAACTATCCAGCATTTAAGATGATGTGTGCTTGATTAGAGCACTCAAGTTCAATCGATCCAATTTTACTGCGGATTTGTCCAATTATCTAGCTATCCTACCTCAGCTCGACAGTTACTTGACGATCAGTAAATATGACACTAGCGCTTACCAAAGCGGATTAGTAACTTAACTCTATACCGTATCTACTGTTTTTCGCCGCGCCGTGACTTCAAGTTGAGAACTACAGTTGGGTGGTGCAACGCAAATTTTTACAACCACTTGGATTACAATGATCGATCGAAACATACCTTGAACACGATTTTCTATTCTCCAATCTCTGAATTTGGAAAAATAACACCAGCGAATGGGTGAATAAATTAGACGACCAAATAGATATTCGTACTCCCATGCGAACCCGACCTAAAGCTGCCACCTAGACGTGGTGGTCGGGCTTGAGTGCTACAATGGTCCCGCGGGCTACACTGGCTGGAACTTCGTTCCACAAGGTACAACCATGCCAGGAAGGCCAAAGGGGAGCAGCCAGACCA